AATTATGAGATAGCTAAGTCATAATTATGAGATAGCTAAGTCAATTATGAGATAGTATCTTATGACTTAGCTATCTCATAATTATGAGATACTATCTCATAATTATGAGATAGCTAAGTCATAATTATGAGATCGTATCTCATAATAATGAGATAGCTAAGTCATAATTATGAGATACTATCTCATAATTATGAGATAGCTAAGTCATAATTATGAGATACAAGTTTTGTTTTTTTTAATCAGGGTGGCGGAAATGGGCTTCCATACATTTCCATGCCATGCCCCCCCAAAAAAGCATGGCAGCACACCCTGCAAAGCTACAAACATTGCTACAAAATATGTAAAGAAACACCAACATTTAGAATGTTTTGTCACTTTTATTCACCAACAATAAATACTGAATTTGTCTAGCATACGAATTTAATTAATTAATATGTTATAAACACTAGTATATTTAAACTGAAAAAGTACTTTTTTAAACAAACTGTTGACGATAACGAAACAAAATACATCAAACCTCTCTTAAATAACATTTCAACATTTTATAAATTGGATTTACAGTTTTTGTTGATTGGTTCGACCTGTTTGAAGGAACTGGGAACCTCTCAGTCTTCATCATCACCATCTCAGCAGAGCAGAAGACACCTCTTGCAAATGTGTTAATATTCTCATTGGACTGACATGGTTTTCACACCCWTTTTGCAAAACAGTTAACACAGATGTCATTCAAGAAGTCTAAGCTTCCTTTTAGCTGTCAGTATGAAACACTGAAAGCACCTGTTTGACACTTCTTCACAGAATTGTTCAGTTTGCAATCAGTCTGCAGGCCTGTGTTGTTCTCTTCTACTCTTTTAGCAATGTTATGGGTTTTTTTAAATTTTTTTTCTAATTTGTCCTTGTGTGGATTTTAGTCTTTTTTAGGAGGGTTGCACCTCCTCATGATGTCTTCATGAAGATAATCCTTGCTCTGCATGACCCAGAGTACCTGTTCTCCTACGTTTATGTTGTGTCTTCTTCTGAATGGGTGTTCTGAACTGTAATTTCATTGTGCTCTGTACAATGACAACAAAGRTCTAATCTAAAGGCCTAGTATACAGTAGATTTCTGTTCTTTACTGGAAAAGACTGTGTTTTTTATTTACCTAATTTCTCACATAGTAAAGGATTTTATTTTTATTTCCATGTATTCTCTGTTTGAATACAGTGTTTATTGATTGTTTTTGAGATGGTGATGAGTTTCTTCAAAGAGGTAAAAGCAAAAAGAAAAAAATTGTATAGGTCTTCTGGACGGGTTCTTCTCTAATGAAACGTTTCGTCTCTCCTCCAAGAGACTTCTTCAGTCTGAGAGTTTCAGGCAAAATTCAGGCTTTTAAGCTCTGCCTCCATGTGACTGATACTCTATACTACTCGATACTATTCTGTATGTTGCGGGTGTTTCGGAGAAACTGAGACGTTTATTTTCTAAACATGATGTCCCAGTG